GGAAGGAGGAGGTAGGGTGGAGTGGCAATTCATGTCGTACTCTAAGGTTCATTGACCCAGTACCAACATACCGGTGTGATTCAGCGTAGATTAAAATGGCAGTAATTTGAAGTGAATTCACTCTGTTGGTATGTGTACACCGTCTCCCTAGTTCACACGTGATGATGATAACACATTCAATGTCATTTTAAATTTTCAATCAGTACTCCCACTAGCTGTGGGATCAAGGGATGATTATGATTTGCTATATCTGTGAGTGAGCTTACACAAAGGACACTAGGTGATATAACTGCCCGGATTCTATTTTTATGGAAGGCTGGATTCAACACAGATGCACCAACTAGGTGATCTAATATTTCCAGACATATTCACGAAAGCATAATCTCATGGGCAATACATATGGAACGCGGATCCTCAGATAGAGGTTGTAAACTTAATGCGTGTTTGTTTGACATTTAATATTAAATATTACACTCAGGAAATGTCAGTCAGATATTTTCAAGCACATACACACGCCGATTAGAGCTTGTGATAGTATTTCCTCGTTTTCTTTGATTTGAACTAACAATTCATGAACCCACCTTTAGAGGGAGTGCCTAAAGATTCCAAATGTGTCCTCGCGCAGTTACGCCTAAGAAAGCGCGTACCATTACGTTCCCTCATAGTAATCAAACTCGAGCAACGATAAGGAGAAGCTGAGATATCACACATTGGCAAGCAGCCCAGTCTTACATCTTTCCGGTAAACAGGTGAATTATTAGATAGGAGAAATAGAAAAAACATTATGAGTCATGAGTATTTCAACAAGCATGATCAGTTAGTAACATCTGCTCTACTCCGGACAGTGGCAACGATCTGAACTTACCTCCCTCAAATCTATAATAATTTTCAATGGAAAATGAAGTGTATCCTAATCTCTGAAAAAATCTCCTGTAGCTTCTAATCACGAAAGTGGGATCAGAGATGATATTATTGTTTGCAGCCATGTCATGTGTTCTGACAGAGACTATCAAGCGTCAAATCTTACATTTACTTTCCAGCTACCTGACGCACCACCCGTGGTACGGTTTTTGAATAAGAAAATCGTTCACTACCCGCCAGTAAAATTGGTTGAGTGTATCGCGCAAATATAGCAAGAATCAAATTAACATTCCTCTCCCTAAGTTAGGAGGACTGTCGACAGATCTCCACACACTGGACACGTGACAAGACACAGTTACCAAAGAACAGAGAGTAGGAACCTCATTTGAAACAGAACAACTAGTTAAAGCTGACTACCAGTAGTCCTAACGGCAGCCAACAACTAATGATGTAATGTGAGCTAGGTTCATTAACCCATTTTATTTCTGTTATTCGCGTATATCGTAGTTCCTAAGGTCTGGTATAGCAAAGGATTGCATGTGAGCCTTGCAACCCCACACCACTAGACCTATCAAACTGTTAGAGAAACTTCAAATCATAGAAAATATGTGAAAAATTTAGATAACAATCTTATTCTTCGCTAGAATCAGAGAGGCGAAATGATATCGTTGGCGGGTGAAAGCCTTAGGGTAGCCAGTCAGCCGATGTGTCTTCTCTCGATGAAAGCGACAATAGGAATGAGGATGTGGGATGTACGTATAGTGTACGAGGCTGGCTCGGAAGGCTGCTCAGGCAACCATAGAAATACGAAGATACAGCATAGAAGTGCTGGAAATCTGCAAGAGCAGATGGAATGGATGTGAACAACCAAAATTTTTAACTGAAGATTTAGTAATCTGCTCCGGTCACCCAAATGACAACCACGAGCATATTGAGGCATTTAGTGGCCGTCATGAGGTCACCAGTGGCAGCAAAAGCCCCAATACAGTGGGAACCAACTTCATCCAGGGTCATGACAGCAATATTTAACCCAAAAGGAAGGAAGATTACAATTATCCAATGTGACGCACAATGTTACAGAAGATGCGGAACAAGAGAAGAATGAAGATTTCCAAAGACAACTGTAAACAGTAATGCACAACACCCCAAATGGTGACATCAAGATCCTTATGAGCCATATGAATGCAAGTCACACTTAGAGCAGATAATACAGGAAAAGAACTCACCATGGGTTGAGAGGCTACTGCCCGGTGAAATGAATGACAATGGAGGACATTTCTCAGGCTTCTTTGCCTTCAATGATTTGGTGATCGGAGCCTGCATGTCCGAGCACAGGGATAAATACAAAGAAACATGGATTTCGTCTGACGCGCACACCACGAACCAGATAGACTTCACCTCAATGATGCTGAAGAGAGTGGACACGCAGTCTGGTGGTCAAAGTCGAGTAGGCGAGCAGATCTGGGCTCACACCATCAGCATCTGGTTCAGAGAACCTTCAATGCACAGCTGAAAATCTTCAAAGCAAATGGAAACAGACCAAAATTCAAGTTCAATATTCAGAAACTGAAGGAAGAAATTGCAAGAGGTACCTACCTTCACTACTGATCAGATCAGAGCGAATTCGGAGACACTACGTGGGTCCACTGGGGAAATCCGCGTGCAAGAGCATTGGAACTAACTCTGTGAAGGTGTTCTTCAAGGAAACGTGTACAACTTCTAGGAAGAAGGAAGTGGCAAGACCAGGAATGGCTGTTAACGGACACCACCTATAAGCTACAAGGAGAGACAAGACGAGGACAGTAAGAGAGATGACTCAATGAAAAGATGCACAACAGAGTACAATGAAGAGTTCAATGTACAATGCACTGAATAAAGAAGTGAAGAATAGTTCTCGGAAAGACAAAAACAATTCTACGACACACTGGCACACCACGAACAGCACAAACAGAACAGTCTGTCAGTGGACGCCAATCCTTCACCGAAAGCGGGAATCCTTTGCACGATCAAGCAACCGACGTTAGCCTGGAAAGGCAGCTGGACCGGACGGAATTCCGCCAGCCCGAAGCATTGAAAAGGGACCCAGAGCCTGCTGCAAATGTGCTCATGCCATTATTGCAAGAGGTTTGGAAAGAAGGAAAGGTGCTTACTAATTGGAGGAAAGGCTGGCTACCTTGTAAGACTGTCAAAGAAGAGCGACTTAGGGCTCTGCAAGAACTGGCGTGGGATAATGCCCTTGTCCACGCCGAGTAAAATGCTAAGTCGCATCATCCTGGAGAGAATGGAAGATGCACTGGATGCAGAACTCTACCCCATCTCTCAGAACAAGCTGGATGCAGGAAAGGCGAGTCATGTGCTGATCAGAACAAATCACTGAATGGCAGTCAAACCTTTACCCTAACGCCAGCGACTTTGTAAGGACCCTCGACAGAAAGCGTTGACCGCGGAGTAATTCGGAAACCACTCAAACACTACGGCATGCAATGTCCAAGTATCTATCAGCTTCATTCGAAAGCTGGCTATATGGCAGTGAAACGTGTCAGGTGGCCCACAACAGAAAGATCAACGACATAATTGATATGGAGTCAGGAGTAATGCAAGGACGTTGCTTAATATCACCAATGATATTCTTAATTGTGGAGGACTGAATTATGCCTCAGACTTTACGTGCGAGCGGAGAAAGGAATACACTGGACCATCGATAAGAAAACTCTGGAAGGTCTGGATTTTTTTCGTGGATAGTATATGTCTAGTGTCACACGAAATCGAAGATTTGCGGTCAAAAACCAGCAAACTGGCTGAAGAAGGTGGCGTTGAAGAAAGGACTCCAGGTAAACACAGGGAAAATGGAGATGGTAAAGATAACCAACAAACCACAACATCTACCGGCACCAATCACCATCACCTGGAGAGATTTAACAGAGGTTGCCTCCTTTGCTTATCCAGCCAGAAAGCATCTTTCCAACTACGCGCGTAACGGATGAGGATGTCAAGGCTGGCCAGAATCGACAAAGCAGGATACATCTTCATCAACCTGCAATCACTTTGGAAACTTTCCTCATTCGCCTCAGCACAGAGAACAAGATTCTGATTTTCAACATCAACGTCAAGCCAGTCATTCTGTGGGGTCAGAAACTTGGGTCCAGCTTGTCACAGGAAGGATTTTCAACTGGTTCCAAACCTTAATCAACAGCTGCCTTCTCTAGCTCCATATTGAACATTAAATGGACAGCCAGACAGAATTAGAAACAAAAAAAATCTAGCGACAAACACACCAAGAGATGATCGTTCAGCGAATATGTAGGAAAAAATGGTGATGATACATTGAGGAGACTGCCAAATGACATAGCGCACCATGCCATCACCGGAGTGGAATCGAGGTGGGAAGCGACGAGTGGGTCGTTCTAGGATGACATTGAGGTAATCGTGTGCCAAGTGGCATATGAGATATCATGGGCCATCGTGGACCCAGATGAAGAGGACGACAGAAGATAGAACAAAGTGGAGATATGTTGCTTACGCCCTATGCCCAGCTTGGAACCCAAAGGAATAATAAGAATGATGGTGCATAATGACCGGTAACATTGGATACTAGCAGAACAGGTGAGTTAAATATTATCCTAAAGTGCTGAGCTCAGTGTCTCAGCCATCTCTCAAGATTGCTAATCGACTCAGCATCCGCCTTACAGACAACTGACAACATGCTTCCCCTTACCAGAATCAGGTGCTAATTCAGTCATCCGGGAGGTTTCGAACATAAAATTCCGTCCGAGCGTAAGTTTTGTTTGCTACCACACATGAGAGACGAATAGATTGTGCATGGAGTGATACACGTCCCCTGAAATTAATATTTTCGGTGTTACAGGGCAAGTGGAAACAAAGATCAAATGAGAATTATTCACATGATTTTCAACCGTTACTTTTACGCCCATCTGAAATTACAATGGGTAGTCTCATTTAAATCCCTAATATATAGAAATACGATTCAACACGATGAATGAAAACATAAAACAATGGGTCTTTCACTTCCATTTTTTTGGAATTGATGTAAATTGAATATCGGAAGCAGTAGTCACCCACCTGTTGTTTAGTTGCATTTCGGTTAACTGTTTAGTTGCTGTTTTGAAAGGCCGAGCGTGATGCGTTACTTAGCTGCTTACTTGCTTTGCCAATTGGGTGGTAAAGAAAATCCCACTGAGAGTGATTTAAAGAGCGTGCTAAACTCGGTTGGAATTGAACATGATTCAGAGAAGCTCTCATCGGTAGGTTGATTAAGATGTCATTCATGTTTTAGGTCATGTCATCACTTTCTGGAAAAGATATAACACAGTTGATTGCCGAAGGATCTAAGAAGATTTCATCAGTGCCAGCTGCTGGCGCTGTAGCTTCAGCCCCAGCACAAAGTGCACCTGCCGCTGCTGCCAAGACAGAGGCTCCTAAAGAGAGCAAACCTGCCAAGGAAGAAGTAAAGGAGGAGTCCGAGTCAGAAGAGGACATGGGCTTCGGATTGTTCGATTAAATTGTATGGAAATATAGTTTTCCTCGAGTATTAGTTGTTGAAACTTTTCTGTTCACGATGAGTAGAAGTCAGTGCTGTCAGCGGATTGACATTTCTATTGCTCCATTCGCATACTGTATGTAAAGCATTTGATTGTACATATCGGAGTCACATTCACTACGTGTTAATCGCCACTTATAATGGCTCATTAAGTTCGAATATATTCGCTCTGTAAGGAAGCAGGTAACAGCTTTGATTCGATTGTCCACTGTCCACAGAATCAACTGACTTTTGTCATGGGATAGTCTGGTCACAGTCAGTTCGTGATTCATATTGTGTATGACAGTAGTTTTCTTGTTCATGTGACCTCCAACTTGCGATTTTCAAGCTGGGTAATTTTGACGACAGTTGATTGTGTGACTGTCATCAGGTACATCACCTCAGATAACAGTGAAAATATAAGACCTGTCATGATCGAGTGAACCCATGGAAATAATTACAATCTAAAATTTACGGTATTCCGTGAGTATAGGATTGTGTTTCCGGAGTCAGCGAATAATGCAGCGTGAAGTGTCGTACCTTCTCAATTTGCTGCTTTCACACGATGAATCTGGGGTTTATGTTTGGATACGTGGTTCTCAATGCTTGTCCCCTATCGCTGCAAATTTTTTGGTAGGTAAATACTATTCATTGCGTTTGTGTGACTGTCCTATCTTGTGTCCATGTCGCCATGAGAATTGGTGATTTGTTGGGAGGTTTAATCTTGAGATTATATGAATGGATTGGGTGTGCATTGGTTATGATGTGGATCAGAAGGGAGCATGTCTGAACGCTAGCAGTACACGAATTCGTGTGAGACTATGGAGTAACGTAGCCCGCTGTGCAGCTTCAAGCTCTTTGAACTAGATTTTTTTTTCCATTTTGAGCAGTAACGGACCATTTTCGTGAACGTTTATTCAAAGATGGAGGTGTGGACCTAGTCAGAGGACTTGTTTGCTTTGGGTGTTCTTTTGTGTAAATGTTTTATGTATGTCTATTACAATCGTTGGGTGATAAACCAATATTTGCGTTAACATTTATAAGTTGTTCACAGACTGCGACTTACGGCTTAGTTTTGTTCGCCTCGTGATTACACATCCGCGCTTTCGCTCGAGGTGTTGCCTGGAAATTGTTCCGTATGTAGCAGATCATTAGATCTCTGTTAGCTGATAGACAGTCCTGCATTTATTCTTGACTTATTATCGTTATAATCGCAATTCGACTGAATCGTCAATTTGAAAAGGCTGAAAATAATGATTGTAAGGTAAGCTTGTAGAACTAATCCGGAGTGGCAAACCTATATGCTCTTTCTATGAAGATGTAGGGGAACTTTTCTCCCTGTGCCCGGGAAGGGATGATGTGGTTGATTATCGGTCTTGATGTTTGTTTGAGCTACTACGCGAGATAGGTAGTGCTTCGGTGGCATAGCGGTTAGGATGCTCGCCAACTATGGACATTGTTCGGGGTTCGGTTTCTGGCCGGCTTACACCTGATACCAATGGTCAGCCTGCAAAACTTGGGCTACTGATATTACGTGCCGAAAGTTCCATACTTGTATCAAAAATGCTGTGTGGAGTCAAGCTACCATAAAAAAATTATTGTATGATGACCCGGCTTGACCAAAGGGACACTTTCTATCAGTGGATGACGTCATCTTGAAATGTTGCTCGTATTCATTATGACTCATATTGTTTACTGTTTCTCAGCTTATACTGATTGAGACGAATAAAAAGTCTCAGATGATGCACTGTGGAATGTAAGATTTTTTCAGTTTAATGTGTGTCCAGCTATCTACTTGGTGGAGGGATCATGCTATACTGACTTAAACGATATCAGATATGACTCAGAACTGAAACAGGCTGTGGTCATGTAGCTCTTATGAATGTGCTTCAATCTGAACAGCTGGAAAGTATCATCATCGTGTCTCAGAGTCTGGTACTGGGTTATTAAGTTCTGACTAGCTTTTATAAATTTGTGTGATTCATTTCTTGATGCCTGTGTTACGTAAATGGTGGTCAGTGTACCGTTTCAGGTAAAACTATTCTGGATTAGACAAGATAGATTATTATTATTAATCCTTTCACGTTCCCAGGGAAACATGCGGCTTCAAGCTAGTGGCTTGAAGTTTCTGTAGCAGTGTTTATTTTGCAGTATTAGGTTGTGAGCCTCATGCCCAACCTTTCCCCTTTACCAGCCTTATTTCTGGCTCTGAGGTTTGGGAGTGCGTCAGGCGAGGATAGGACGCCGGGCCATGTGCATGGTTGATGAGCGTCCTAACCGCTGTGGCAATGATAGACAGATAAATACATTTAATTGTGATCCAGTAGTTCTGGGTGGTTTGACTATTTCGGCATATGCAGCTAATCATATGTAGACGGAACTTAGTGGTTTACTATATTAACACAACTATGCTCTCGTAAAATTGATCTCAGTAAAGAGTCGTTTCGTGTTTGCCTTATTGTACTCGCGGTTGAAAGGCGGAATAGTAAAATCAAACAAGTACAACTTAGGTTCCTAAATATGACGACTCCTTTCAAGGACTAGTTAGTTTACAATTATTAATAACTTGATTTCAGGAATTACTCAAAAAGAATATTTCTATATTCCAACTTATGTCTTATTATAAACAAGAATGTCAGTTGTAAAGTTGATTTTTACTGTGTATCCAGAAGCAGCTTTATTCCTAAGGAAATAAGTTTTCTTCTATATAGTCACTCTAAAAATTATCGAATTTTCTTCTAAGACTTGCAGTGGTTCCAGTTTGTTGGTAGTAGGACTTGCGTGAATAGTTGAATTTTGTTTGTGTATGTAATAATAACATTGTCATATGCTGGAGATCGCTGACTGGCTTAATCGTACTCAACTACTTGATAGTTCATGACAAATTCCCCTTTTAACATAGAGGAAATCAAAAGTGAAGGGCAGCGAAGAGACTTTTCAACAAATTTATTATGAAGCTGTACAATCGTATATATGTATGGTTTTAAAAAAGTTATATCAGGTGAGGGAAATGAATCATAGATGTGAATGCATAAAATAATAGTATGAAATGCAATTAGAATGTTTGTGATTATAATCATAGTTAATTGTCAGGTGGTAAAACAATTAATGTCATATATAGAATAGTTCATAGGATGTGTAGAACTTGGAAGGTGTGTGCAATTATAGGATTAGCAGGCAAAGCGAATGAAAATAAAAACGTTACGTAAAATGGTGTGAAATTTGATAACAGCATTTAACGTTGCGAAACAGTATTGATTTAGAATGACAGTTGAAACGAGTGAAATAATACCGGGGACAGTTCAGGGTGAGAATAGTAACAGTAACAATTGACGTAATAAAGGAAGAGTAATTAAAGTAAACAGACAAAACCAGAAAATTCGTAGTTGTTTCTATGGGTTACTGACATATTTACACAGATCGTGTTTGAATGTGACTCCATTCACTACAGCAAAGTGTACATTCCTCTGGAAATCCAGCTGGAGCGTAGGTGTGAGGTGTGATAACTGATTTTCAGGTGAGTTGTTTATATGGTATTACATAGTGAGTGTCTATCAATCCAGTTTCCCGACTACTATATATATATATATATATATATATATATATACCACATTAGAGACGTATATTCAGACGCTCTACCATGCTCATAAATTGCCTGTGTAGAGCTGTCGTAAAAGTCCCTTAAGTGCTAAAATTTTCCGTTCCTATAATAAATTTACATCCTTCAACAGAAGTCTGAAGTTCACCCGAAACTGAAAGACGTCTTATCTTAGCTCTTCCTCATACATAAACCGTTCTATCCCCTCCTATGGTTTTAGTTATATAGGGTGTACGACCAAACAGGTTTGTCTACGAATTTGAGGATGTTTCCGAGCTTGGTTCAGTAAGCCTAAAATCAACTACATAAAAAGTCCACTTCTATCATACTTGGTAGATAAAGGATATCGTATTGTTTCTAAAATAGCCTTTACGGTTATATAACACAATACTAAGTTTAAAACAAGCAATAAAGGTTAATAAAGCAGGATTTAATGAATTCATCAAATTTCGGTAGAACTCGTCAGCTGAATACTCTACATACACGGATATATATACTTTTGAAATTACATTGGGAGATATAAGACTGATAAGTTGAATACTCTACATACACGAATATATATACTTTTGAAATTACATTGGGAGATATAAGACTGATAAGTAAACAAACTACATTGAATTAATCATGCAGAGAGACAGGTGCGAATATTTTCCAGGTCATGTTCAAATAGATAAGGGGAGAGAGAGTATGAGAGATCAAAATTAAGATAAATGGCATAACGCTTCAATTGCATCACTTAGATAAACAATTAGTCACTAGGGTATATAAGGAGAATTGCAAACAGACTAATATCAATAGTAATAGTTATAATAACAGTTTTAATAGTGTTGAAGTGAGTTAAGATAATCTTATTGATAAAGCATAGTTTTAGATGAATCAAGAATAATGGTAATAATAATAACAATAATAGTAAGAAGAAGAAGAGGTAGAATAATAACAAGTAGAGAATAAAACGTATTACCATGGTAGATTAAGAGTTACGACCATCTCCTTTTGTATACAGAGAGCTGGTTTATAAATTCGAATTGCACAAGCCTCTGCAATTGCAAGCATCTTCTTGTTTCTTTGTTTGCTGACAATGGTAAATGACTTGACGGCGTCGATTACGGACATGATATCGACGCCGTCAAGTCATTTACCATTGTCAGCAAACAAAGAAACAAGAAGATGCTTGCAATTGCAGAGGCTTGTGCAATTCGAATTTATAAACCAGCTCTCTGTATACAAAAGGAGATGGTCGTAACTCTTAATCTACCATGGTAATACGTTTTATTCTCTACTTGTTATTATTCTACCTCTTCTTCTTCTTACTATTATTGTTATTATTATTACCATTATTCTTGATTCATCTAAAACTATGCTTTATCAATAAGATTATCTTAAC